TTATATTCAAATTTTAAGTCTAAGAGTGTAATTTCCAGCCATCTAGAGGTGCCATAATCACAAATTTTCTTGCCTCAGCCCCAACCATGGTGGGGCTGAGGTGGTATAGATTCTCAATCTGCTGAAGTACCCAGTAGCGGATTCAAGGGGACCCAGACGGTCCGCCCCCACCCTCCTAAATTTTTGAATAAAAAAATGGAGATATAAAGATAATTATATTCAAATTTTATGTCTGGAAGTGCAATTTCCGGCCATCTAGAGGTGCCATAATCACAAATGTTCTTACCTCAGCCCCAACCATGGTGGGGCTGAGGTAGTATAGATCTTCTATCTGTGCAAGTACCCTCCCTGGGCCCTTCTATTTCGAATTCCTGGATCCGCCACTGGAAATTACAACAAATATGAAATCATATTGCAGTAGCTTGATGCCTATAAAATAACTAGATGCCTAGAAGCTCGCTACGCTCGCATGCTTGACCTTATTAAATGCCCCCCCCCCACTTTCAGAAACGTTCCGCCGCCGTTGCTATACACAAAGGTTGTCCGACGTTCGGCTTTCCATCGGCCCAACGTGGATTCAGCTTGTTGGAAAGACGTCGGCCCGACTAGTTGGATGAGCGTTGGCCCGATAATGTTTGTGCAAAGTCGTCCAACTACGATGGGCCTATGTTCTTTACTGATGTTGCTTAGACGTTCGCTTTTCCATTGGGCCAACGTCGATTCAGCCAGTTGGAAAGACGTCGGGCCGATATGTTTGTGCAACGTCGTCCAACCACGTTGGGCCAACGTACCTTTTCTGATGTTGCCTAGACGTTCGCTTTTCCATCGGGCCAATGTCGGTTCAGCCAGTTGGATCAACGTCGGGCCGATATGTTTGTGCAACGTCATCAAACTACGTTGGACCAACGTTCCTTTTCTGATGTTGCCTGGACGTTCGCTTTTCCATCGGGCCAACGTCGATTCAGCAAGTTGGAAAGACGTCGGCCCGACTAGTTGGATCAACGTCGGGCCGATATGTTTGTGTAACGTCATCAAACCACGTTGGCTCAACGTATCTATACTAACGTTGGTTAGACGTTTGCATAATTTGTATCAGGCCAACGGGGGTTCAGCTTCTTCGAAAGACGTTAACCCAACTGGCTAGACTAACGTTGACCCGACATTAAACGAAGTTTACACACATTTTGAGAAATATATCGTCTTAACTACTGTACTTGTTGGAGCAACGTCGATTCAAAGCTTGTTCTAGCGCCGACTTCAATATACCGGCAATGAAGGTATAGTTGCAGTTTCAGTTCCTATTTTGTTGGTCTTAGGACAGATGGGTCGAGGTGCATTGTAATTTATATGGCAGCATCACGACGTCGCTGGTCTGACATGTTTTAGTCTGTTGAGTATTCGTTACAGTGTCTTAACTTAACTGTGCAAAATATTGACGGATTTTAATTAAGGCTTGTTTACTGCGTCGATCAGGTGCCCTTATATCTCATTAAAACTGTAAAAAGAAATAGATAGTAGCGTAGATTATTCTAATGTTCTAAAAGAAACTACCCATTACAATATAATCTTTCACTTTATTATTTTATTACTATAAATGAATGTATATGATATAGTATGTATATATAACATAATCCATATCAATTAGGCGTAATACACACTAATGGTTGATTTAAACTTAAAACAAAAATGACATGATATTCTGTGCATTTAAAAAAAAAATCTGAAATTCAGCTTTGGTCATTTAGATAGTACGCGGAAGAAAGTCCAAGGTGATCAAGCCATTGTATTCGTGTGGTTTTATCATTAATATCACAATTATATTAAATTTAGTAGCCGCATAAAAACCTAAGTTTAAAAATAATAATTTAGTGTACAACTTTTAATTATGTTTTCCTGGTGTCTAAAATTACAAGATTAAAAAACATATGAAATAAAATTTAAATGTAAATACGAAGTTGAAACCCTGTTTGAATTTGAAGAGTATAGTGCCTGAAATGGCATGTTGTTCAGTCACTGTCAGTTAAAGGAAGAACTTCTTCCTATTGTGTTGTAGCTGAAAGGAAAAAGACAATGTGGTATATTGCGTACAGTGTTTGGAAAGATTCGTAATGCTCATAATAACGTATTAGTGGTTTAATGGGCCAATGCATTCGTTAAGGATCAAATAAATTCAACTAGAATTAAATTTAAACAAATTGAAATGAACATATATGTTCATCGAATAAATTATAGATCATATAATTCATTAACTGGTCGATCAGCTGCTTAATTTACATTATCATTTAATCGGTTGTGACAATCGCGTATTCAATCAATTATTCAATCAATCACTCAATATTTAATTAATTAGATTAACTAATTATTGATACATGTAAAATAAAAAATGAAGTGGAAATGAAACTTACCTCTCTGCTTCTCGGCTCTGGCCTTTCTTCCACCTAATCGTCTTAAAAAATGTACTTAAGCCATGATTTTATTTTTCCTCACATATAGCCTCAGTGACATCCCTTTAAGCCCTTTCTGCCAAAGCTAAATACATTTAAAGTTTAAATTGACACAACTACTGATACAGTCATATGGGTTTATGGGTATCACTTGAGAAAGACATGATTGAAACGCTTCGTGCACATTATTTCAAATAAATTACGGCAAACTCACCACAATGTATGTGGTTTTATTGAATATATATATATATATATATATATATATATATATATATACTTATATATACATATATATATATATTTTAATATTATAATATATATACA